TTAAGATCCCAGTCGCTACTCGCCAAAGTGGGAGGTGGAACAATGTTTTGTGTAGTATGTTATGCCAATTGAGCTTGTTGTCCCCTGTGACCACGGTCCCGAGAGCACAGGTCCAACTCCTTACTCCCTCTGGGGAGCTGGAGCAGCCAATGCTTTAACCACTATACCACCAGAGTTCCTCAGAGAAATAAAGTACATTGTAGAAACTTTATAAGCATGTGAACAAGCATGCAATACGCATTAATACATGTAAATATGGAAAAATAGAGAAACAGAATTAGTATATGATATTGACATCCATTCATCTTTTAACATTTTCATTTACATACTGTACAATGCAGTCTTTTGGTGCACACTTCCATGAGTTTTGATAAATGGATACATGAGTGTTACCAACTACCATAATCAAGACATAGAACAGTTTCATCACCTCCCAAAATTACTTTGTACCACCCTTTTTTAGTCCAATCCCTACCTCGCCAAACCCTTGGTACCCACCAATCTGCTTGCCACTGCTATGGTCCTGCCTTTTGGAGAATGTCATATAAATGGAATCATATACTATGTAACCTTTTGAAATTGGTTGCTTTCACTCAGCACAATGCCTTTGAGATTCATTCATGTTGACAGATGAATAACAATAGTTTGTTCCTTTTTAGTGCTAAGTAGTACTCCATTCTAAGGACATACCACAGTTTATCCATTCACCCATTAAAAAACAGACAAGTTGTTTCCAATTTCTGACAACTATGAATAGAACTGCTATAAACATTCACACCCAAGTTTTTGTGTGAACATGAATTAATCTTTTGGGTTTTTTTACTTTTAACTGTGATTTGGGTGAAAAGTTTAGAGAGCAAAATGGTTTTCCATTCAACAATTCACACACATTTTACTTTGGATGTCTAAGGGCCATAGTCTCAGGGGTTCCACCAGTCTCTATCAGACCAGTAAGCCTGATCTTTTTTTATGATTTTGGGTTTTGCTTCACAGTTTTCTCCCACTCAATCCAGGAACTCCTATAATGGTCCCTTTCAGAGTGGTCAGTGTGGTAGCTGGGCTAAACATGAATTAATCTTTATTTTCACACTTCATATAGCCTATTGCTGAACCAGGGATTCGGAAACAGAGCATAAGAAGAGTCACACAGGGACTTCTGGTAAAATGGAGCAATAGGCAGACAAGTGACACAAACCCTCTTCAACAAAGAAAAGAAAAAACAATTGACAGAGATACAGAAGATAATCCTGGAGCCCTGAGCTTTG